GCCAAAACAAAAAAACAAACAAATAAATGACAACAACAATCTTAATACCACTGAAGACAATCCATATATCCTTGGAGCCTTGGAAAGTATATGTGACTCTCATCTCCAGAAACTGAGCTCTACCCTCTATAGTGATATCAAACTGCTCTAATATTTGTTCTATATTATAGCACTTCATATATTTGACTAAAACTAGCAAGTGTCCTGAGATTCTTCTCTTTAAAATTTTCACTTCCTTTACCCATTTATTATTATATAACATGTCCATTGATCTTACCTGGGTCTTTCTTTAGCTGTTATTCTCTCTAAATCCACTTTGGGCAACATCTTGAGTTCTTTCTTCATCTAAAAACTGTTCCCCTTATAAAATGAGGTAAAATTGATTTACCTTTATTTTCTATTGCATGAAAAGGGCTTTGTATGTAGAGGTCTGGTGCATGAAAATTCATGCATTGGTTGGTGTGTGGAGGGGTCCCTCAGCCTGGCCTGCATCCTCTTAAATCCTGGACTCCGCGGGTAGGGACTCTAGGTCTGACCTGAGATCAAGGTCTATTGGAGCTTTCCTTTCCCAGGCTGCCAGCAGCTGGCCCCACCCCCACCGCTGCCACTGCTTGCTGTTTTTGCAGTGCTGCCCCACCTCCCCTGTCACCAGTGGCCTCCCTCTGCAGATGACAGCCTGTGTCTACCTCTTTCTTTGCTGGGGGGGGGGGGGGGGGGGGGGGGGCGCGCACGCAGAGCCAGCCCTGTGAGGGGCCATCTGCCTACTTGATTGCTCCTAAGTTCTTGCCTACCTACCTGATCACCCCTAACCCTTCTGCCTGCCTGCCTGATTGCCCCTAACTGCTTGCTTGGGGGTGGGGCCAGCCCTGTGTGGGGCCTTCTGCCTACTTGATCTTCCCTAACTACTTGCCTGCCTACCTGATCACCCCTAACCCCTCTGCCTGTCTGCCTGATTGCCCCAAAGGGTCACAGATTTTATTACTGGCAAGGGCACATATCTGGCTGCAAGTTCAATCCCTAGTCCTGGTCAGGGTACATACAGGAGCCAACCAATCCATGTGTGTCTCTCATATCAATGCTTTTCTCCCCTACCCCCATCCCTCCTTCCTACTGTCTCTAAAAATCAATGAAAAAAATATCCACAATGAGGATTAACAAAACAAAACAAAAAAAACAAGCTTCCAATGGGTGCATCTGATAATTTCAGTCTCTATAAAAAGTGACTTTAAAACTTTTTAGTGATGTTCTGATTGGTACAGTAAAAACCTTCTTAGTTATTATTCATGAAATAATCATACTCAGGAGACTAACATATTTGGGACTGTTTGGTGAGGGAAGAACGGTATGAGAAGCTCAGAAAAAAAGCCTAGGAAAAGCTAATGTGACTACATCAAAGATATATATTTATTTAAAGGAAGAAAAAAGTACTGATATTTGAGTGAGTTTACATCTGAGATTCGATCATTTCTTCTCAAGGTCCAGGGAATGTTTATCTGGATGAGTGTAAGCAACCATCTTCTTTATGAGTGCTGCTATTACTGGAGAGAGTCACAGAATAGGAAATAATGCCACAATGGATTCCAAATCACCAATTTCAGATCACTAGTCTTCAGCAGTGCCTGGCAATTCCACCAGGCACTTTGGCCAGCTGGCTCTCTCTTTCTGTAATATTTCAACATTTTTTTTTTTACTTTCCTCAGACTATTACCATGTAGCAACACTCTATTTCAAGCATCAATCATCTCTCACCCAAAGCAAAACAACAGCCAGGTAACTCATCTCATCCTTCAGTCCATTCCCCAGACTAAAACCTGATTATTCTCCTTCCCTAATTGAATTGCATCAATTACTTTCCATGAGACAAAGAAAATAAAAATAAAAATATCTGTAACTTGCATTACGAGTTTTTCTCAAACCATTTTTCCCCTTCACTTTCTGTGTTTCAATTACCATTTAATTACTCAAGTGCATAATGCTTCTCTCACCCTGACTCATGCTTCTCTCAGCCCTGATTCCTAGGGCTGCTATAACCACATACCATAAACTGAGTGACTTAGGACAACAGGAATCTATTGTCTCACAGTCTGGAAAGTGGAGGACTGAAATGAAGGTGTTGTCTAAGGAAAATCCTTTCTGTCCTCTTCTGAGCCTCTGGGAATTTGCTGGCAGTCTTTGGAATTCCTTGGTTTGAAATGCAGTCTTCCATCTTCACAGGGCCTTCTCCATGGATTTCTGTTTCCAAATTTCTCCTTTGTACCAGTCACTGGTTTAAGACTCATCCTCATGACCTGCTTTTAACTTCTTTCCCTACATAAAGATTGTATTTCCCAATAAGGTTGCATTCTCTGATACTGGGAGTCAGGATTTCAATGTATCTTTTTTTTAGGGAACACCATTCAAAACTTAAAAGCCAACCATTAGCACAGGAGTTTTTCACATGGTGCTTGTTCTCCAAGAAGTCTTCTTTACAACTTTCACCCTTCTGCCACCCTGCATAGCCACCTGTCCAACTTTCAACCCAGAATGACCTTTCCTAGGGGAGATGGGTTCACAATCGAAATGTATTTTCTCAGTAAATGAATTCAAGTGATCATATATACCTGGCCTTGGTAACACTTACCATATCTATAATTTTACACTTATTGGTGAAATTGTTGGATTAATATCTATCTACTTCAGTAGACTGTGAGCTCTGCCATCTTTTCTCACGGTTGAATCACTGCAGTGTTTGAAATATCACAGCAGGCATTCAATAAATGTTTGGCTGAATGAATAAACAATAGATCAGATCAGAAATGACAAAACTGTCATCTTGAAGCTTCAAATTTTCTACTTTTATTAAGGTGTTAGTGAGGACATAAATTGTTTCCATATAATATTCTACCTGCCAGGGAAAATTTTCTCTATCATTAGACTAATTGCCTAAAAAATCTATAAGAAGCTTGCAGTTTATTTTGAATTATCCATACTACAATAGCTATACAGGACTCTAATCCTACTCACGTCACTCGATTTCTCTTTTTAGTCTCAAAAAATCAACTGTTTAAACATCCAAATTGTGTTCAGAAATTTCAGAGCAGATTATAATAGAGTTTGAGAAACATTCAGTTGAGTAAAACAAAATTTATTGATAAATGCTGTGGTTGATTCTGAAAACACCCAGAAAACAACAATTTAATACAATGAGACATACTATGGTGAGTTGCAACAGTGGAAACAGAAATGCCCAACTACAATTATTATCTTTATATGTTTGATTTTTTTTATGTTGCACATGAATACTTATGGATTCATAAGGCAAAATGCAACTTCTGATTCTTTGGAAGGTATCTTTCTTATATATATTATTTTCTTTCACAATTTCTTACATAAATGGCTATATTCAAAGCCATAATCTGTATCTATATGGACTTTGAAGATTAGCAGAACTGGTTTAGAATTCCAGCTCTTATGATCTGAGTCATTTTGAGAAATTTTCTTAATTTCTTTAAGCCTCAGTTTTCTTTTCTGCTAAAAAAAAACAACAATCCAATAATATTATTTTATTGATTGGATTATTCTAGATATTAAATATGTATAACATATGTAATTGTAATAAATAGCCTGGTAATGATTGGCAATCAATAAATGTTGCTATTATCTTCATCAACATAAGCATGAGAAGTAAATTTTAAAGTTTTCATTTTACATTCTTTTTATGATTCACTTTATCTTCTTAAACCAAGATACTGTTTTGATAATTGTTTATATATTCAACATTCACTTTGCCTATTGACTGTCATATATAATAAATTAAGAATATTTCCTTTAAGTAAATTTTAACAAAAGTTAATATGAATAGTAAATAGATAACTTCCAATATATCTACTGCAAATCAAAAGCCTAATAAGCAAACCACAAATTAATTATCTTTATTTTGAGGTATTTATTCTTAAAGTTAAAGTGTTTTTGCTTAAGTAATACTAACTCTTTGACAAAAAGTGTTGCCCTTTAAAATTTGCATAAATCAGTGTATGTTTGAGCCTCACAAAATGGACAACAGTAAAAATAAAACCATTTAAATAATGTGATTTATAACTAGAAATGCAAAAATGTAATTAATTTGTTGTACATTATTTTCTTCTCTATTAGCCAAAATTTGGCAATTAGACATATTACTCAATTTAAAACCAGAATTTGATCCTTCCAGGGATATTGTCACTATTTTACTAGGTGAATAAAACTTGACTCTGGTTACCATATTCAGAGATTTGACAATTTCTAAAAAACTATACTCTAAAAAATATGTAAGTGTGATTTTTAAAACCTCAAAGGTATTTTTATAAAAATTATATATATTTATGTTGATAGGTACTATGAAAATTTTCATGATGCAATATGAATTCAAGCCTCAATCACACTTGATTTATTCATCTTTATCTGAATCCTGAGCTTGTCTCTCCTTGCTTTAGATGGAAATGTTGATAATATCCTTTATAGGGGTTCTATATCTTCATCAATCATATAGCTATTACCATATTGTCTCTAGATTTATCTTTTAAAAACTTAAACATACAAAAGAAAAAATGGAGGTCTTGAGGTACTGAATTCATTTTTTAAACACTTGTTACTCACATTTCTAATTCCACTCAGCAGACATTTATGAATTCTGATAATGTGCGAGGCACAGCACCAAATAATCAAGGCCTTTAACTTACATTATTTTTATTGATCTTCTCTTCAGCCCTAAGAAGTGGATGTTCTTATTTCTATTTTTAGAATAATGAAGTTGAGGTTCAAAAAAAGGTTTAAAAATTATAAAAGAAAATTTGAACTTACATTTGTCTGATTCCAAAGACTATTTTGTAAATATTACTTTACGCTGCCTTGCAAAATCCTTATCAACTTGTTTTCTATCAATAGAAGAGAAAGAACCCTGGCCACTGAAACTCCTTTGAAACTACTTTTTAAACTTCACTAACAAGAGGCTGACAAAATGTTTTTTTTTTCTTTTCTTATAGGTATATGGCCATTATTGATCCCTTGAAACCCAGACTGTCTGCCACAGCAACAAAGATTGTCATTGGCAGCATTTGGATTCTAGCTTTTCTACTGGCCTTTCCTCAGTGTCTTTACTCCAAAACCAAAGTCATGCCAGGCCGTACTCTTTGCTATGTGCAATGGCCAGAAGGTCCCAAACAACATTTCACGTAAGTTAATTCTGTTGTAATTTTCAATTCAATTTATTGAACAATGAAGGAACTGTAGGCTGGGAGCAACAATTAAATAAATAAGACATAGGCATTTCCCTCAATGTCTCACATATTACTTGGGAAGACAGACACATACAAATATTATAAAACCTTATGATATGGTCACTAAGTTGGTGTAAATTACAAATATTTATAATTGAAAAAATGTAATGAGCCAAAACTGGTTTGGCTTAGTGGATAGAGCATCGGCCTGCGGACTGAAGGGTCCCAGGTTCGATTCTGGTAAAGGGCATGTACCTTGGATTGCAGGCACATCCCCAGTGGGGGGGGGGGGGGGTGCAGGAGGCAGCTGATCGATGTTTTCTCTCATCAGTGTTTCTAGCTTTCTGTCCCTCTCCCTTCCTCTCTGTTAAAAAAAAAAAAATCAATAAAATATATATTTTTTTAAATGTAATGACTCTGTATGGGACAGCTCTGGAGAATTTCTTAGAGCAGATGATAAGCTCATTGGAGATGAAAGCAATACCAAAAGAGGGCAGGGTTGTTATTGACAGAGAAATGAGAGAGAAGTGAGAAACTAGAGGCCAAATGTGTTGATTGCTCTTTTAAGTAACATGGCTGAAGGGAAGCGGAGTCCTGGTAGGCTCTTGGTTGTGTTTCTTTGTTTTAACATTAAAGAAATTTATATACTATAATAGCTTGGAAAGAAAATAGAAATATTATACAATAGGAAGTTGACATTTCATATTTTGGAACCATCTTAAAAAAGATGTAATACTGCTATTTGTGACAACATGGATGGGTCTTGAGAATATCATGCTAAGTGAAATAAGTCATAAGGGAAAAAGTCAAAAACAATATGATTTAACCCATATGTGGGATATAAAACTGAAAGCAACAAATGAACAAACAAGACAAAGAAATAAACAAAACCTCATAGACATCGATAATAGAATGGTGGTGATCAGAAGGAAGGGAGGGTGGGGGAAGCAGTAAAGGGTGAATGGAATAAAATTTAAAAAAATACAAACCCACAAGCATTGAGAATATTAACATACCAAACTCCATAATTACTTTAAAACCTCTTAAGAAAGAGGAAGCCAAACAAAGTTTATACAAACTCTAAACGGGCTGATATATATTATTGACTATTCCTCCCTAATTGGCTCCTAATGATTTTGATTGAAAGCTATGAAATCCTAGAATTTTGTTTGATAATGTATAGCATCACGACTTTGTTGCAACTGAACATGTCTATATATTACTTACCAAATTAACAATGCAATCAAATGTTCCATGACTTTGGAAAAATACATGTAAATATCTTTATCTGATTTTTAAAATCACTGTCAAATAGCTCGTGAATTCAGTATGGCTTACAGTATTTTGTAACATTTTTTTTTCATTTGGATGAAAAATAATTTATTTCAAATATTAATGATGTCACGGGATATAGAGAATAGTTTTACATAGGAGAAAATATCATCAGTTGACTACTTCATTCTGCCCCATCTCTTTTCTTCTGATGATACATTTAATTAGGTCAGCCCAATAATTACCAAGCAGAGGAACGGCATTTATCCCAAACCTCTAGGCAAGGGGGTGGTGGTGGGGAGGAGGCGTGGTTTAAATTAACACTATGTTTTTCATGTATAAAGTAAAGATGGATGGATAAAAATCAATTGGTAGCATTTGGACAACTGTAGGTGACAATTTCATGGTATGTTAATGAGTGTGAAATGAAGACTTAGAGAAAATGTGGAAATATTCTTTAGCATTTTAAATTATGATTTAAAATGGAATGAATTCATAGTCCCACTGTTTCATCCCGATATGCTCTTCAGCATGTGAATTTTGATGTTGTTGTTTTTAAATTTCAGGTATCATATTACTGTCATTATACTGGTGTACTGTTTCCCATTGCTCGTCATGGGCATCACATATACCATTGTTGGAGTCACTCTCTGGGGAGGAGAGATCCCAGGAGACACCTGTGACAAGTATCATGAGCAGCTAAAGGCTAAAAGAAAGGTATTGTTACATATCACTTACCAGCATCTGTGCAAGTTATGGCACATCAGAGATGGAGAATGCCCACCGATGGCATTTTAATGCTGTATAATATCATTGGATGCTTTGCTTCTACTTTTATTTGTCTTATGCTTTCTTTTAATCCATTTTTTCTTTTGCTTCTTATTTTTATCTTCTATAAGCCAGTGATCATGTGCAATTTCAGTTTGTGATAGAATAGTCTCTTCCCTACAGAAAGACTTTTTATTACCTTGTACAGAGTATCCTCAATTACTCCACAAGAAACTTCTGGAATTTTACTTTATATGGAGTCCCATTTACTATATTTCTGAAGTTCTAGCTATGTTTCTCCTTTATTTAATAGAATCCTCTGATGCACTCTATAATCTTCCATAAGCTTCTTTGATCCCAACAATGGCATCTATTTTAATAGGTGCTATAATTTCCTAATATCCATTTACCTATCTCTCCCTCCCTACCTTCCTGACACCTCTCCTCACCCTCCCCACATTATACTTCTACACAGCCATCATGCATATCTGATTAAAAGATGAAAGTTGCATTAATACTCTCTACAACTTATTGGGTGACATTATAAAGCCAATTTCTGAATATTCACATTAAACAGGAAATGCTCTAAAATTATAATATTGACATTTACCAGGATTTTTAATTAAGATTTTACTCAGACTACTATTATGTGATTCAGTGAGTGAGATTTTTGATAAGTTTGTAGAGTTAAAAAGAATCACAGTCACCTACCCCATCTTCCTCTCTCCAATTGAAGTCTGAGAGGTTTTGCCAAGGTTAAGAGTCATGCTAACTATGCCACTTATTATTTATTCAATTTATGATTAAGTTATTTATGTAGAACTATCAACTTCGTGGATACTTTCCTTAAAAAACACTCAACAGCCCAAACCAGTTTGGCTCAGTGATTCTGGTCAAGGGCATGTGGAAGAGGCAGCTAATCAGTGTTTCTCTCTCATTGATGTATCTAACTCTTTATCCCTCTCCCTTCTTCTCTGTAAAAAACCAATAAAATATATTAAAAACAAACAAACACTTAACATCTTAAAAATCCCTTACTTACAAACACTCATTTAACAACAATAAAATTAGGATTTAAAAATTTAATGTTGAAAATGGATCCTATTTTAATACTAATATGTCTTTCTTCTTTTATTGACAATAATGGTAGATAAGACTTACATTCAGTTAATACTTTATTATGATCTCTAGTATTTGAAAACAGAAAGTATACATAATCGTTTCTATATCACTTACTAATTTCAGCCTATAATACATATTTTTTATTTTTTTATTTTTTTAAATCTTAAAAATGAAGTGCACAAACAACCACCTTATTCTCTTAGCATTTAGAAAGAATCCTAAAAGTAGGAGAATTTCAATAACTTGGTCGTCTGAAGTGAACAGTTTCTCTTTTGCAATTTCAACCTTTATTTCATAACATCCTCCTCATATTGAAAGGTGATCTTTGGGGGAATATTTTCTTATAGCTATGTTTTAGGCAACATTACATAAAATAACTGATGTGATGTTCTACATATTTCAGAATAATTTCTGCCTTTCTATTACTCACTGAGTTTCCTGTCTTTTGTTTCTTATTGGTTTAGGCATCTTTTTTTTTCCCCTGTTCACTCCTAGGAAAATTTAAATAAGTCCAATAATTGTATATTATAGCTCCTTTTTCTTCATATACATGTAATATTTTTCTAGCAAGAAATTAAAATTTAATGAATGTTACTTTTTATTTTTGCACTGAGTCCCACAAGGAACAAAAACAAGAGGGAATACTCTGCCTTTGCCTCTGTATAACTTATAAAAGTAAAGCAAAATATTTCCTTATAATTTCATTCTGTAGTTTTAAAATATAAATATCAATTTAAATGGAAAGTATAATCCTTCTGGAATGTTTCAAAAAAGTAACACATTTAAATTTTTCAATCCATATGTCCTTCTCTCAGATTGGGTTCTAGATTGACATAATACTAAATGACATTTATGTTATGGATTTCCTATAATAAATATCTTATTCTTAGAGTTCTTTTATAGTCACTTATTGGTATTACTGTGAGTATATTAAAAAGTAATACTTTTTTCCAAAAATTTAAAATTTCAGAATATAGCTAGCTCTCCTCTAAATTGCTTTTTTAAAACCCGAAATTAAAATATTACCTGGTATGTTTGGAAGAGTTATTTCTAGTAACTGTGTTATATTTATACTTTAATATGTCTACTAAGGTCTAAAATATAAGTCTTTCTCTGAATGGGCAGGTAATTATATACTGTCTCCTAGAAAATACTTCTTTGAAATTATAGATTTGACTTCAGAGATAAAATAAGAAAGTTATTGATTAAAATAGTGCAAATTCATTATGACTTAGTAAAAACAATAACTCCATGAACAACGCTGAGCCAACCTCCTAGCAATAAAAAATAGTGAATGTTGATTGAGTTCCCAAATACATATGAACTAGAATAAATAAAAATAAATTTAAAAAATTTGTCAAATCACTGAGAAAATCTTTGCAACTATTGAGAAGCATTGCTTTCATTATTCTTTATCCTACAATCTTTAGGAATTGTGCTTAATTTCAAACCTTATAGATTAAATTCTTTAAAGAACAGCCAGTAGAAATAAATTACATATCTGTTATACAGAACCTCGCATGTCTAAAAACTTTCAGATTAACAATCCCCACTCGATCTTTGCATATGTTCTGCTGAAATATGTATTCACTTTGAAGATAATACTAATAGATCTAGCTAGCACTAAATATTAAAAAGATGAAATATTAGTCTTGAAAAATAAGTTAATACCTCTAGAAATATTTTCTTATCATAAAAATTAGTCTCTTGAAAAAAAAATCAGTATTAAAATTCTATGACTCCAAACAACTTACTAAGATCTGGAGGGTAATCTGTAGGATTGACTAACATTTGAGTCACATGTATAATAGACTTTCAAAAATTAGCAAGCACATTGATAAATTAATAAATTTTCTTATATTATGTATTTTATAATTTAATTTGAATACCTCATAACACAGCCAAAATATTTTTAATTTATAGCAAATATGCTAGGTTTTAAAATTCTGCATGTTATGTACACATTGGCTTTAAATATATGTATTGATGCAAAAGAACTGTTGGCCCAGAAAGGAACTCACTACAGACTGATTCATTTGCCTCTCAGCATAACCATTATGGCTTGTTGCAGTTTAGGTTCTTACAAGGGTATTTCTTGGATCACATGATCTCACACATCTAGAGGAAATAATGAACAACACAAACAGACCCAGAGAAAGAGAAAGAGAACCAGCGATCAGACTCTCAAACCTCAGAGGGAAAGTAAGGGGGGATGGGGGTAAGGGGAAGAGATCAACCAAAGGACTTGTGTGCATACATATGGGCCTAGCCAGTGGCCATGGACAACAGGGGGTGGGGGGTGGGGGGAGCATATCTAGGGAGGGGATTGGGATGGAAATGGGGGAATAAGGACAATTATGTGAGATCATAATAAATAAATAAATAAATAAATAAATAAATAAATAAATAAATAAAACTTACTATGAAAATAATGTTAAAAAAATAAAAATAATAAATAATAAATAAATATATGTATTGAATTAATAGTCTCTTTAATGTAACAAAGTGGTTAACTTAAGAGGGTCTGCACTTGAAATAGAAATATGTTCAGACAGTAGCAAAATATAAAATGTCAATATCACACAATACTCAAGGTCTTGTCTAAGTTAGTGCTTTTTTTGTGGTAATTATTTAATATTTTTGCCAACATCTTCATTCAGGAAATGTGTACAGACTACTGTAGGACTGATTTAAAATGATTTTGCAGTTCAAAAAATCTGTTCTAGAATGATAGATCTTACCAGAACCTAAAATTTCATTAATCCCTTGCCTTACTGCTATTTTGGATTAAAATCAAATGCACTGTAAGGGAAAATAAATAAAGGGGGCTAACCTCATATTTAGAATGTTTTTGATAAAATAAATCAAATATGCTCTTTAATTTTTTTTTTCAATTTTGGCAAATAGCATCTGTTTCCTAAATATCTAGATGTTGGCTAATAAACCATTGAATGTTTATTTGAGTTAGAATCGTATGTATAATTAGTATATCCATATGACTGGAATTTGAACTCATTCACTTTGTAAACAAAAGACTTGCCATCTGGCTCTCCTAGTATTATCCCAAACTAAGACTACATTCTTGGCAATTTGAGTGGCAAAAAAACAAGTAGTGACATTAAAATTATTGACAATGACAAAACTTATCACAAAATATATCTGAGTCTGCCAGCATCTTAGAATAACTATTTAGAACATAAATGCTAGAAGTCCAGTGATTAGCAAGATAGGAAGAAAATAAATTGTACTAATTAGTAGATATAAGTTGGACATAAAGCATACCTAAATATAAATGATTAAATTATTAAATTTATCTATATGAAAAACAAATTGGGGCTACATAAGGAATGAAAATGGTTATATCAATTTCAATTCATTCATCAAAGGTTATTTATTAAATGTTTCTATTGTGAAAGTACCACAGACAAAATTTTTCTCATATCAGGAAACTGGGACTGCATGCAATTTCCAAAGTGAGGAAATATTTTCCAGTTGTACCTAGTGTAAAAATATTTCTCTTTTCCGTGTCCAGCGAGGCTAGAGAGCGGGTCCAGTTCCTGAGTAGAGGAGCTGGGGATTGAGAAATAAAATAAAGAAAGAGAGAAGACACAAATGGAAGAAAAAAGCTGGGAACCGAGTGGACAGCTGTCTTCTTTTGAGGGACAGACAGTGACCCATAGCCAATACAGCATGTTTATTTATACTCCCACATACCAGGAGTTTTGCCAAAAGTCAAGACAAAGGAGCTTATTTGCATTCTTGAGTAGGCCTGTGCATTTCTGGTGCTAGACTGGATTTACATGCCAAACTCACTACCTGACACCTGG